CAAATAATTGTTATATTTCACTAGCAACAGTTCTTAATCATCACAACCACCTTTTGAATGTTATAAAAAATATACATATATCTCCACTCTGCTTCTTTTTATTACAAGCTTTGCTCAGTCCTCTGAGTTTACTGTATTCTACCCAGAGATAATGTACCTTCCTCCCAATGTTCACATCGAACACAATGGAACTGTACAAACTGGCTGTGTCCAAAATCAATATTCACTGGATAGTGCACCATGTGGTGGCAGCGTATATAGTGGCCTTTTTCTGACAAGTAGTGTATAATAGATGGTCACTATCTGACTTATACATCCCACCATGCATTGCAGGGTGAAGAAAAGTGCCTTACAGACAAGAATAGCATGATCAGTACTCTGATAAAATTATAGATTAAAACATACTGTAGCCTTAAAAAATAATCTCTAATCAATCTTTAATGGATATGCTCAATACTGTTGTTTATTATTTATCACCTTGGCTGGGTTATGGAGGGTGTATGTTTGGAAAGTGCGACAGCAGTGCCGTCACTTTTCAGCACCCAGGTAGACAGTGAGCAGTGTCCAATATGTTTGTGCTGAGCTGACTATCCAGTGCACAGTCGACATTTAAACGCATTAGTTTGTGATTTTGGACAAAACCATTCACTGATCCAAGTTGGTGCTCCCTAAAATAACTTCCTTAATTCAGCACAACCTAATTTTGAGGACTCCTGTTCAAGAAGCGTTCAAACATTGTGTTGCGCGACAGATTCATGTGGCCCTAAAGATTGTTTCAGTGCGTGTGATTCCTGCATTTTCCCATCCAACACTTTCATCAGATTCACATTTCATCCTGAACAGTACTGTGGTTGAAATCGAAACGCCTAAACATTAATTACGTTCACATTAACCTCAGCTGTGCGATCTATTTTGAACTAATTAAATGCTAACATGCAAATATGGTGAAGTAAGACCGCCAAGATAGTCACGGAAAACAACAGTCATGCTAAACATAAACATGTAAGCCTTGCAATTATAATAATGATGGCATGCTGATGTTAGCAGAGAATATGATATACAGTTGTATTACTTCTCTGCTGATGATGAATCAGACATCATCAGGCTCAACAGATTGTTTCCATACAAAAGGAAAGCAACTGACCTCTGAAACACTCCGCGTTGTTTCACTTTTGAGGAAAACCACATATGATCGCTCCTGGATGGGTCATATGGTTGTGTACAGAAAAATTCAAAGCCATCATCCCTCTCTCGACTGACCCTCTCCAGAGTTCCCACCATTTTCTCTTTGTTATTTTGTAGTGCCACAGTAACAATATTAAAGTCTCTCTGGTTCACCAGGTGCTAATATGATGAAAATGTTAATCCTCCTCATAGTGCTGAAGGCAGCACGAATTGATGCCAGCTGTGTGTCGACAGCTGTGATGTGAATACACTACTTTTAATGTTCGCTCTCTCCTCAACATAAATGAAAATATATTTTGCTTCAAGCTGATGGTCATGTGCTAGATTTAATGCTACATCAGCCCATGGCTATCCCTTTATGCTTCAATGGAAGGATTTTAACAACTAAAGGGCTGCATAAAGGCCATCTGCCTGTCTCATTACTGCCAACTTCTCTATGTTTCTGCCTCCAGAGGATCAAGGTCTGCCATGGGAGATGGTTTTTATGAGATTTCTGATTCTTTGGGGGTTCGGATGAAAGCTGCAACTCTTTGGCGTTTCTTGACCACATAAGCCTAGTATCCAAAAAGGTCACGGCCAGTCAGTGGATTGGCATTTCGTACCACTTCTGCAGGTCAGGAGACAAAACAAGCACACTACACACACACATGCATGCACACACACACACGTGTGAATTAACGAGGCTCACCAGAGAAGTCCCTGCTTTATGTTGTGTGGTACTAGGCAATTGTGATTATACGAGAGGCAGAGACAAATCTGTCTCACCACTGTTATTACAAGGCCATCATTGTGACTATTTTGACTCCAACCACTAAAACCATTCCTCCAGTTAATAACTATATTATTACAAATGCTACTACGACTATGCAATGAATATACCCTGTTAAGTTTATTTGCCCTAAATTAAGCTAGGATCAGTCTATTATCATTTACACACTTTTCCTGTAAAAAAAATTTCCATTAATATTTGGACTGTAACCATCAATGTATAAACTGTTGTTGCTTGTCTCTGTCCATGTTTCTCTCTTTCTGCTTCTCCTTCTATCCACTCTCCAATCCCAATGCAGAAGCGGCAGATGACTGTCTAACATAAGTCTGGTTCTGCTCAGGGTTTATGCTTGTTAAAAGGAAGTTTTTAATTGCCATTGACACCTGGATTAAGAAAGGTAAAAGTTTGACTTGAGTTTGGCTCCTTTTTTTGCAGAAAGTACAAAAAAAAGGTAGTGCTCTACACTATACTATAAATGATCGATTGAGTGATTTCCCTAACAGGTGTAAATCCACAGGACAAGACTGGATGGACAACTCTGGATGGATCCATGAATCACTCCAGAAAAAGGATGAAAAGTCAAAGTTGATAAAGGTTATTTGAAAAAGTCCTGGGACTTTTGTAGAAAGAAATCCAAACAGTCAAGTCAAAACTTTTGACTTAAACTTTAGGATAAGCTTACAAAGGGGTAACAAAACTGTAATCAGGTCCATCTGCTCCACACTTAAACTCCGTCCCACACCCTTCACTGTTATTATTGGGGAGGTAGTGGTTCTTGAGGCTAGACCAGCTGAGATCCATTATATTAGATTGTATAAATATACCTGCTAATTCTTGATACAAAAAAAAGGGGAAGAGAGAGGTCAAGTATTTTAATTAAGAGAAAACCTGCATTTTCTCTGAAAGGTGCAGAAGCATCTTAATAGACAGTAACAAGAAAACTCCTCACATGGTGTTGGAGACTAATTAGCTGTCTGGAAAGAAAAAAAAAATCCAGAGTATATTTTGTTCATTTGCAGTCAGTTCAGAATAAAAACAGGTCAAAGACCCCAAACCTCATATTTGTACAAAGCCTGGAGCTGTTTGAGAAATAACTCATGCAGCTCAGGTTTATTTTTCTTTTATCACTTCTTGGCCAGTTTTTACTTATATTCCAATTTACACATTCAATCCCTGACAGTTGCAGAGCTTGTTTTTAACTGTTCTGTGTTGTATAAAGACTACAGAGTAGTGCTCATTACATCCGTTTACCACGTCATCTTGGTGTGCAGAGGTTTCTGTGGGTCGGGCATGCTGATTAACAACAGTTTTGCTGAGGATATCTCACCCTTAACACAAGTAACTAAAAATGATGGATATTTGTCCTGCTTAGAGCTGCATTTAAAGTAAAAGACAAGAATACAATTGTAATCAATCACATACTGAAAGAAAAAGAGAAGACAGCGGAAAAAAAATGAAGGATCTTTCTCATAAGCTTGGAGACGAAGGCTGGAGAGAGGAAAGAGGGGTGGGGGGTGGAGGTGGAGAAGACCTCAGGAGTCTTGGCTTGGCTTGCTGTCTCTTGGCAGCTGAAGGCACAAACATGAGCAGGGATCCCTCTATATTTCTCGGGAAAGCTGAGCGAGAGGAATACACAACAGAGAGGAAAGGGAGAATGAAAACAACAGAGGAAAGAGCGGATTGGAGAGGGCTGGACCTGATGTAGTGTTTCTGATATAGTATGCTTTGCGGAATGTCAGCAATATAGTAGAAATATTGAACTGTGACAATACAGTAATATTTCCCAGAAACAAGTAATTTGCTCATTTAACCCTGCCTTAGATCACATTAAAGTTGTACTGAACCATGTTAAATGCTTAAATAAATCAGCATTGGCTCTGCTATCTTTGGCTGAACACAAGTGCGCTGCAGTAATTGGAGGGGATCATTTGGGTCAGACTGGCTCTGGAACAGCTGAGGTTCTAGGCCGCAGTGACCTCCATCACCAGCAGGGGGCGAGCAGCCGCCACACACAACAGCATCCAAGCGTGCGCCTCTCCAACAGCCCCCCATCCACCTGCGCACACAACCGCACAACATCTCCCGATTCTACCTCTCTCTCCTCCCATGTGACAGAGAGAGAGAGAGAGAGAGAGAGAGAGAGAGAGAGAGAGAGAGAGAGAGAGAGAGAGAGAGAGAGAGAGAGAGAGATGTGATTTCGCCAAAAGGCCAGACAATTAGTGGCTGTTGGAGGAACGCATGACACACATCTCAGCTGGGAGAGGAGAGCAAGACTGACAGAGGGAGGCCGACTCACGCACAGAGAGAGGGAGATAGAGAGAGAGAGAGAGGGATGGAGGGATGGGGTTTATTTGAATGCTTAATCACCACCAAGACTGGGATGATGTGGGCTATCGTGTGGCACTGCACCTGCAATGTTTTCACTCGTATCCATCTTTGTTTGCCCGTGTCGACGTGGGGTAAAAGCATCCAGCCAAATGTCACATGAGGACAAATTAAAGGAAATTTGCCAAAATTTCAGCTCCACCATTTCCCCTGCCTTTTCACCGCTCAATTTAAGTGAATTTATTTCCTAGATATTTTTTTTTTTTCACGGCTGTAAAATGCAGCCACGTGTGTGATGGTGTTTTAATACACAGGAGTGGCCTACATCGACGACTAATATGTCACGCAAATGAGCAATCATGTATGACGACATCTCCACTGAGGGACGCAATTAGGTGATGTGTGAGTTCAGCACCTGTGACGTTCACGTGGAAATGAGCTCCCATAGTATGGAGGCGGCAATGGTCATGTAATGTGCGCGCGCACGCGTGTGCAAGTGTGTGTGTGAGTGCATGTGTTGGTTTGTAAAAGGATAACAGTGTGCCTCTCATATGCCTCACAGGCATGCCCATGAACCCACGCACGCGCTCCTAAAAGCAGTAGCGTACGTGTACGACACGCGCACGAGCCATGACGAAAAATTAAAGCAATATCCCCATGTAGTAGCCTCGCGTGGTCTTGATATGTTTCTCAAGGTTTATTGACCTATCACATCAGTGGAATGTCTCCATCGGAATGTGAGTGTTTTTGTAGTGCTAGGATTTATAGACTATATAGCATTCACCCCCCACCCCCCATTACTTTTTGCTCCCCATATCTCGCGTAAGCCTGTGTAAGTGTGTGTGTTGGGGGGTTGGGGGTTGGGGGGGGCTGTCTTGCGTGTGTTTGTGTGTGTCTCAGCCGAGCTCAGTGAGCAGAGAGGGAGAGAAAGAGAGAGGAGGAGAGGAGAGGAGAGAGAGAGAGTTTTGTTTAGGGGAGGGACAGACATCCTCCAGCCGGGGACTACAGCCTCAGTCTGGGCAGCCAGGAGCGGCAGCAGCGTTGTATGCCCTCCCCTCAACGACACCACCATCATCACCACCCGTCTGCACCCCGCTTTTTTTTTTTTGGGACTAGACACCCCGTGCTGTGACACCGTCTACGGGCAAGTGTGTTTGTGTGTGTGAGTGTGTGTGTCAGTCGAGGAGCAAATAAAAGCAACATCAATAGGCACTACCCTCAGTCTCCCACCACGCGAACAAGGGGAGCACAGCGGAGGAGCGAGAGAAGGGGGTACCGACCGAAGGTGGCATGGAGGAGAGGTGTGTGTGTGTCTGTGCGCGGAGGCAGGGCTGTGGGATGTGGCGTCTGACGGACTCGGAGAGATGCTGTGAGCTCTGGTATTAGCAGGCAGCTGCGCACCGAGCCGCTCTCTCCCCTCCCTCCCCTCCCCAGTTGCTCTCCTCACACCGACCGTTCGCTCAAACCGGGGGATCTGCTCCATACGGCTCGCTCTTGCTCACTACTACCGCCGGCGTCTTGCAAGAAGGATTTGACAGTAGCAGGTATGTGCAGCGGCGGCGGAGCGCTGGATGTGTGTTTGCATGGTGATGGTGGTTGAGGGTTGAGGTGGGGGGTGGGGGGGTCTTGACTGTTCTGACTTCATCCTTCTTGTTGCTTCCCTCCCCTCCCTCTGTGGCCCTGTCAGTGGATTAATGAAACGTTATTTAAGAAGGATGCGGTGAGATGGCATCTTCTTGTCGATGCAGCTGGCTGGAAATTATCAATAATACAAGGTGTTAATGTGATTCAGTCGTTCTCGTCTTTTTTTATTATTATTCTAATAATCTCAAGATCGGACACAAACACTGTCGATCCACAAACGGCTCTTTGCTCTTCTTCTCACCTTTCCCATGTTGTTGTGCATAACGCATGTGAGCAATGCTGTTGTTTCACACCGAAGCAAACGCGATGAGACTGCTGCTCGTCATGTCAGCCAGAGAAATGGTAATATTTTGATTTATGAGGAGAGACAATCTGTTGTGATCTTGGCTGGATTCCTACGGCTGCAGGCAGATATTTCACTGCTGGGGGGAAATACACAGGTTAGGTTAGAATGGAGGCAAAATGTAGCCGAGGCTGGGCGTGAGGGCAATATGATCTGTGGATGCACACACCCTCACATGCTCATCCCCCCGCTGGTGTGCTCCGCTTTTCTCTCGAAGCAGCAAATGCACGCTTAAAAGCACTCATGTACGGAGGCATGCGTGGCGCACATGTGTGTGCACGCACGGCTGCACACTCTGAAGAGCAGGCACACACACACACGCGCACACACACACACACCCACATGTGCTCTAATCCACACCCGGGCGTAATCCATAATCATGTGTAATGGAGACATGACGTAACACGTGAGCATCTCTCATCTATAGGCTGTTTCTGGAGGTTTACTCTAAAATATTCCTGTACTTTGACCCAGAATGATAACAGCACATCACAGCATGCAATGAAATCGCTCGCAGCATAATAACCTCAAATTGGCATACTTGGCGTTTTCATCAGAACAGAGCAGATTGTTTTATTGTGAGAAATAGGTTAGCATGCCTCTAACTGACACTCGTTTTCATTTAAAGAGAGTGGCAGTGATTGTTGGGCCTGTGAGAAACCAAGTGTTCCAGAGTGCTCTGCTGATCAGATGCATTAAGGGAAATGGGGGAAATAGGTCCCTGGGTATTAATGCATGGCCCCAGGGTATGGCATACAGAGAGTGGGTGTGGTTGAGGTGCTCCCCCTCTCTCTGGAGGTTTCTCCAGTCTGACTCATGAATGGGAGTGGCTCTAACTCAGGACCACAGGAATTCCCAGATTTTCTTGAGTCACAGTGACAGCCAACTTTTGTTTGGCGCTCTCATCTGACTAAGCAAGTTGAATGTGATCCGTGTAAAACAGGATATATGAGTGTGAAACTTCAAACATTAAAACATTTTGAGGCAGTGTGGTCATACTTGGGCCCAGGACTCAGACTCCACAGTCTGACTTGAGTCCTGATTTTCAGGACTCGTGATTTAACTTGGACTTGAGCACTGATGACTTGTGCACTGACTGCTTTAGGACTGTGATAAGTCAGATGTATTTATTGATCAAGACTGTGTTATAGTTCTTGTTTGACTTTTAGTAAATAGCCTCAATTCATACTTTTGCCTGCACTTATCTTAAAGGGATATTTCGGGGTAAAATTAATTTAGGGTCAAAAACAGTGTAACACTGAGTTAGACACTCTCTCGAGAGATGAATGTTGCTTCTCTAGTTATACCAACTTTAGTAACGACCGCACGATAGCAATACACAGTGGTCTGAGGAGCCATAAACAAACCTCAACCAAAATGCCACTCTATAGCCACAAATAATGCTCAGAACAGCATTTAACTTCATCTACAGTACATACATAGGGAGCTACATTGCGATACATAGCTGCGTCACCCCGCTGTAGTCCGTAATGGACTGGCCCAAGGTCTCGCTACAAACAAGCAGCCGCCGGAAGAGAGTGGGTGAGTTGTGTTAAGTCCATTTGCTAAAGAAATTAGGCAAAGTTAAAAAGATGTTTGGTGTGTGGTGGCTAGTGCTATGGCTAGGACCCTATATTTACTGTTGATGAAGTTAGGTGCTGTTCTGAGTATTATTTTTGTGGCTATAGAGTGGTGTTTTGGTTGAGGTTTGTTTATGGCTCCTCAGACCGCTGTGTATTGCTATCGTGCAGTCGTTACTAAAGTTGGTATAACTAGAGAAGCAAGCGGTCGACAACATTCATCTCTCAGTGTGGTGTCTAACTCGGTGTTACGGTGTGTTTGACCCTAAATTAATTTTACGCCAGAATATCCCTTTAACGTGTCATCCTGGTCAGCAACAGATCATGCCAAAAGAGTTGCCTTGAATGGGGTGTTTTTAGTCCAAAGATTTTACTGTAACTATAAACAAGAGCAGAGCAATATGTTAGACATGTACAAGAACCATCGAGGGGAAGACGAGTCAACATCACACTTCAATCAGCATCTATCCTGGATTCATCCAGTTTAACTTCATAGAGGTTACAGTTACCCCACTTGGATTGTTGATTACATAACTGTTAGCAGGCTAATTGTAATATTAGCACCAAAGGGACTCAATCACTGGCTCTAAGATGTTTGGTTCGTTAAAGTTAAGTGGGTGGGTTGCAGTTATTTTTGAATTTATTAGACCTCCACAGTGACTCATGAGTGTTGCCTCTCATTCACACACAGCACACAGCGCTGAAATTTCATTGATAATTTTAGTCACAGAGACTAACAGAACTAGTAAGATTCTAATGTAAATAAATAAAACACAGGGTTGGGATTGTCCACCATGTTTTCTGCACACCCTAAAGGTCCCTCACAGTCAGTCTCAGTTCATACAGTCAACACTTAGAGCAATACAGCCACCTCATAATAAGTGAAACATTAACAGAGGGGACTTGACTTGTACTCAATTTGAAATTTTCTTTGGTGATGCACTTGACTCAAACTTGAATCTGGTGACCGATTTCAGGTGCAGTGCTTTGCTCAAAGGCACAGACACCTCTGGTTTATGAAGGCTGGAACAAACGTAATTTTGGATATGAAATTAAAACACCAAAATTCAGTTATTTACAGACTAATATAACATAAACGATTCTTGATGATATCATGTACTCAACCTACTACGTGATCACTCATGTGAAGTAATACATTTAACGATGGCCTGTTCAGTCAAAGCTTAATTTTATAGGGGGGCACCCTCTTTGGCTCATCTTTGTACAAACTAAGGAAGAGATAATGTTTGGTTAGCTGGTGGTTGTCCTTGTTTAGGGTGGATTTATGAGTGTAATTCTGATTCAAACACTATTTGTTCCCCTTAGGGTAGTCATCTCTATTTTTAGTAGATTTGTTTTTGTATGCATGCCATTTTGTGTAATCATCTTTTAATAAACCACAAACTCAATTTAGGGGGCAGGAGTTGGATGCTAGCAATAGCTCTTACCTCAATCTGCAAACTGTCAGTTACTACAGTTTATTTGTAATAGGTGGAAGTTGTTCCATATTACTTGTACTGTCCCCATCAAATAAGCTAAAAAACAACATAAATAAATCCTATTTTGCATAATCACCAGTCAGCTACTATAAATCATCTCACATTTCACCCTATTACTGACTAATATAAAAACAAGTTGATACTTAGTATTGATCTAAAGATGATTTTAGAATAGTCCCTCAGTGTCTTCTTCAGTTTTGATAGTTTTTCAATGGCAACATTAATCTCATCACCAAACATACGGGTTGAATTCACATGAAATTCATGTTGTCCATAGATTCCTTCTGGTAGTAGCATTTTTACTGGATTAGCAATAAAGGAAAAGGTGAACTTATATAAAGTATACTAAATGTTCTGGTCATTTTATCTATTAAAACGCTTTTGTTTTGTATGATCTGATTTAATTTGTATGTGAACAGTTTTTATTGATTTGGCCCTTCTGTCCCTACAAGTCACAGCAGGATGACTGTAAGTTGAATTTGTGAATGTTACGTTTATTAGTAATAATGTCAGTGTGTGTGCAGACATAACGTTAAATCAAAATACAACTCCTAATGGTCATCATTAATCAAATGTGCTGTAACAGTAATGTTCTCTTTGAGGGTGATCCCAAAAATAAAGCATCATGCAACAATCATAGGATAGAATAAACTGGGTTAACTCATTTATTGATTTGATATATATGCAGTGTTTGCCATCAGGTTGTCCCTAATGTTGCCTTATCTCTTTAGAATTAATACAACCATACCACGGTTAGCATTAGAGTAAGCATAAAAACAGCATGATAAGTAGGAAAGTGGGGTAATAATTGCTTATATTCACTTAGGTAGTACAGATTTAGTGTGGTTGCACAGAGTCTGCTTGTATATTGCTACTAGAGCAAAGATGAGTAGTAGCACAGATCCTGTGGATCTAGATAATCCAGCATGTGATCTGACTCCAACATGCGCTCGGTGGCTTGGAATAAATGGTCCCATTTCATTTGCAGCTCATTTTCTGCTGAGTCTACTCAAAGAGCCTCCTCCCTGCAGGTTCCGGGGTCAAACTGATAAACCACACACGAGTGGGATAAGGTGATCTAGTAATCTGTCATCCTTTTCTCTTAAATCTTATGTCATTACACTCTAATGGGAGGATACAGGCGATACCTCGAGGGTATTATCAGGTCATTGGTGTATCAACTCCAGCTGAGGAAGAGGAAGAATGCTTCATTTGTCAAAGCTAAACATGCAGATGTCAAGGTGTTGGCTGTGGGAAGAGTTGAAAGTAGCTCCCTAATTGGTAATCAGCACTCATTAAACACTAGTACTCCTTTAGTGTGATTCATCCAGACAAAGAGCAGCCACAGCATCTAAGTGATGTTTCAGTTACTGCTACAGTACACAGCTGTCAGCCATTATTGTAGCTGTACTTCAACTTGATACAAGCTCATGGCGTTAATTGTGTCACAGAGGCATTAAGATAATTGTTCAAAATTGATCAACAAACATTGTTAGGTCCAGTTAATGTAGAGCCTTACAGATAATTATCTATAATGACTGAACCATTCACTGAGATAAAAAAACACACCAAAGGTCAAAATTCAGCAGGTTTTAGCTTTAAGAAACCTGGTCAAGCACATCCAGGGACAACATCCCCTGCTCTGAGTAAATCTATTCCACATTTGCAAAGAAAAAACAAAGTTTGTTGTAACTCTTAAATCTGGACAAAGAAGACCAGGTTTGCTGACCCAAGAGAAGATTGAGGAATGCTTCTTTTCAGCTCTGACATGATGTAGAGGAGTCTGACTTCAAAGCCATGACCTTAACCACTCTCTGAAGACAGACTAACACTAATATTTCAGCTCCATATAACACTGACAGTCGATACAGTTTGAGGCTTTAAGTTATTTTTAGACATTATTTTCTTTTACTGGCTGAGAGAGGTCAGCAGTTGTTTTATGATATCATCCTTCAAAATGTCTAACTCATCAATAACTCAGTGACACACTCTTTTCAATTTAATTTTAATTTATTCCATTAAAAAATACTCTATTCATAACTCTTGGCTGTAACTAATTTAACAGCCATATCTAGAGGTACTAATTAGATTGCCTTATTTCACATTGGTGATGGTAAATATGCTATTTTAGTGCTACTGTAGAAGAAAAAAAACAATAATTCAATGATTCAATTTTGTAGTAAGTGATAACACCTGAGGTCATGTTTTTAAATGATTTTCAAAAATCTTGACAAATCACTAAACCTGCTGGAGTAGGCAACTGAACCCCCGTCCTCTCTCCCAAACAACTCCAAATGCCCTTCAGTGAAGCACTTAACCCTTAGCTGCTGACTCATTCAAACACGTGAAGTGTGGTTCAACAGAGGCCCTTCATAGTTTTTGCATGCAGATGGCAGTTTGATATTCATAAGAGAGCTTCAAAAAATATCACTGAAAGTCACAGAGGCAATGTCAGGACATATTTAGACAATATCTGATGGGATTTATTTATGTGAGGGACAGTGTTGGGTCGTGACCCATCATGTGGCAAAAGTCTGACTTGGCTTTACTCCAATCTGAGACAAAGCTGAGTCATGAACCTCCTCACACCAAAATAAAAACATTGTAGGCTCTCTTAACCTATTCCTGTCACCTTTTCATTTCAGTGATGGAAATTTTGACACTGTCTTTTCTGCTAATTACAACCCAAGACTATGCATACTTGTGACTGGGCAGATGATGGTTTCTGGATAAAATAGTTCTGAAATTTAGACGAAAACGTTAATTCAGGCTAGACTTCTTTGCTAACTATAGTGAGTAAATCTAGCTTATTCGTTTCACTCCTCAGGGTTAGCCCTATGGCACAAGACTTGATAGTATTAGAAATAACATTGTTGTTTTTTGCACCAACATTGTCGCTCCAGGCCTGCCCTCAACCTTGTCCTGTGAAGTTCACAAAAAGCCAAGCTTCTGGAGATGTTCCATCAGACTTGTCAAAATTATATCTGTGACGTTTGAACTAGAACTAATGTGAGGCAGCTGTCAGATCCCTTGCACAAAAAGCATCCCACTTTAGATCCAGTTGGCCAGTTTTACTGTAGAGAAAAAACAACTTCATAGAGCCATCAAAGCTATTCAGAATAACTCAAGAGTCTCTGCCCCCCACGAGCCCAAGACTGGCATATTGTCCTATTTGTAATTACATAGTCTGCTGCACATATGCATTATGTTACATGAATGGTTCAGGTGCTGAACCATTGTAATTTAACTAATTGGGACATTAAGTGTCAGTATAGGTCATTAACCCCAACATTTAAATGAATGATTATACCCACACTTTCATCATAAATATCATGAAAAATTAACAAACCCAACAAATTTGACCTTTCATAAAACATGCAATTAAAAAAAATATGTTTGGACCACTTTATACTGGATCTACTGGATATTTTAAAGTATTTTTTCTGAATACACTCTTGAAGAATAATGTTGGTTTAGTTTAGCGCTTCCTGAGTTCCAGGCTTTCTGACAAGACTGTTGTAGCATTGAAGCAATTAGAATAATTGGCCAGCTCCTGCTGCAGAAGCCGGATACATCAATGTTGCTAGTGGGTCTATTGACCTTGACTGACACACACACATACATGACTGCACACCCAGTCATATAAACATGCAATTGATTACTCTCAACCCCCCCCTGGACCCTTATGAACACACATGCACATTCAGTAGAGGCACATACTTACATTCTGTCTTTGTCTTTCCTTCTGTCTCTCTTCCTTGTTAAAGATCCCCTTTTCATAACATGAATCATGTATTTTGTTGCATAATGAATCTAAAAATTAAGATGCTATGTTGTTGGATGCTGTGTGCGCCACAAAACAGACATTTGATGATTTCTGTAAATGCAAAGAAAGACTTGATAGAAAACAGTTATTGCTATGGAAATCTCAATGGTTGTGATTAATGGTCATTCTGTTTTTTGTTTTGTCTTTCAGAGACATGGTCCATATTTGGAGGAAGGCCACTGGATTCAAAAAGCATTACTGAGCTTCTACACAAACTGTGGTTTCGGTTCGGTGATTGTGAGCTGGGTTCCCACTGTCAAACAGACAAGCTGATTGTGCTTGGCTCGCCACTGCTGTATTCCCAGCCAACTTCTTTCACTAGATGATAAAAAAGAGTTCACAGGATTACCATCCATGGTTTCTGCCCTAATAAAGAATATATCATCCTACATTAAAAAGATTTGCAAAGGAATGTTTACAAAGAAATTGGCAAAACCAATAAAGAAGAAAGAGAGAAGCGACAATAAAGAGCCCAAATTGACCACTGATTTGCAAGCACACAATTTAACTCTTTCCACCACACTGAAGACTACAGTTAAAAAGATTTCCAAATGCTCTTCGGCACGTAACATATCGCTTGAAGAGGACGACGGGAAGAACGACTGCTCATCTTTGTCACCCACTTTTAGTTATCGCGTAGCTATAGCAAATGGACTCCCGAAAAACTCTCTTTTTCTGAATAATAATGAAAGTATCTTTCCTGAGGTTCTCTCGATTGACAGTAGTTACTCTGACTCCTTGAGTGAGACAAAACCTGTCAGGAGACTGGATGAACATAAATCACACACCATGCCAGTAAGACGAAATAGGAAGAGCCTCATCAGTTTGGCTCCCTCTGATGGCAGTTCTGAGGGTGAACGAGTGGAGCGATCGAGTCTTCACACGCTAAGGCTGGGTGCCCTACGGAAGTTAAGAAAATGGAAAAAGAGTCAGGAATGTGTCTCCTCAGACTCGGAGGTGAGCAACTGGAGGAAAACCCTCGGCATCCGCAGCAAGTCTTTGGACCGTGCTGGACGGCATCAAAAGAGCTCGACCCTGGAGCCGGGCTCCTCCTCCACAGGCTGCATCAGTCAAACCCAGGATGTCATGGAGATGATATTCAAGGAGCTTCAAGGGATCAGTCAGATAGAGACTGAACTGTCTGAGCTACGTGGACATGTCAATGCTCTGAAAAGCTCCATTGATGAGATTTCAAGCAGTGTAGAGGTAGTTCAGAGTGAGATTGAGCAGCTTCGCTCAGGCTTTGTCCAGTCTAGAAGGGAAACACGTGATATTCATGACTACATAAAACAAATTAGCCACCAGGCCAATAACTCAACCTTGAGGTTCCTCAATGTTCCAGAGGAAAAGTCAGAGAAAACAGAGATTCTAATATACAAAATATTAAAGGACAAAATGGGTTTCATTGATGCCCAAAAAACAATAAAAATTGAGCTTGCTCATAGGTTAGGACAACAGCGAGAATGTTCTAATGCAAAACCCCGTCCTATAATTGTTATTTTTGCAACTACTCAGGACAGGGATGTAGTCTTGAAAAAATGCTATAAACTGAAAGGGACTGGTATTACTGTCTCTACCGACAGCTTAACTCGTGATGGAAAAGAGAGAAAAGACAAAACAATGTCTTCCTCACAAACTTACGAAAGCATGGATATAAAGGTCTCAGGGAAGGACAAAGTAGTGGAAAGTGATGACTGGGATTCAATGGACAGTGACAAAGAATTAGATGAATTAAGCAGAAATAAATATGCAATGGTGATTTCAAAGCCTGTTCACAAAAGCAAATCAGAGAAGAGGCGATCCCATGACCATAGCCGATCAGGAGAGGAGGCAGGCTACTCAGGCACCGTTCACTATGCTGATGACTCTTACTATGACCCAGACAAGCATGCAAAGGCATACTACTCTGATTTGACTCCTGGCTGGCTCTCCCAGAGTGACTATTCTACCCCTAAACTGAGCCGTTCAGAGTCGGACTGCTCCAAACTTTGCCAGTCATACTCAGAGGACTTTTCAGAGAGTCAGTACTTTACACGGGCAAATGGCTGCTCCCTGCTGTCCTCCTCAGATCAGGAACTGTGGCAGAGAAAACAAGAAGACATGGCTTCCTCTTGGTATGCTAGCCCTAGTCACACACTAAGCCACGAGAATCCAACCTATGAACACAATGAGGTTGAGACTACAGAAACTATTGACAGTGGTGTAAGCAATGGTCTTGTCTGCATGTCTGGAGACAGAAGCCACTATAGTGGCTCCCAGGTCTCTCTTCAGGGTGACCTATCACCATGGAAAGACTGGCATCATCTGGAGCAGGGTGCTGATTCTGGTTTGGAAGCCTCTATCGAGGTCAGCAGTCCCTTTGACCCATCAACCATTCCTGGTTTTCCAGAAAACATCACTAAATGTCAGGAGGTGGATTTACAATTTGAAGGAGATGAAGAATTCATGATGCTTGACAGAGAAGCTTCCTTACCACCAATTACCACCCACATTATCCCTCCCATTACAGAGAGGGAAAATGTCAAGACATCTCCCCGGCAGTCTAAAGAGGGGAGCAAAGTGACGGCAAAAGAAAACATAAAAGCATCTTCGAAAGATGCCCCAAAAACTGCCTCTAAAGTGACACAAAAACAAACTAAATTGGCTCAGAAAGAAGAAATCACCAAAGTATTGCCCAAGGAAAGCCCTAAGGTGTCTGCGAAGACTGTACCTAAAGTGACTTCTAGAGCTACTCCTAAAGAGATACCTAAAGAGATTCAGACAACAGTGAAAGAGTCCCCTCAAGCCCTCCCTAAAGACAGTCCTAAAGTTGCTCCTAAGGTTGCTCCAAAGCCCACTGTCAGAGAAGTATCGAAAGTGACATCAAAGGTAACTACTGCTGAGAGTACTAAAGTCACGCCGAAGGTGACACCAAAAGATAGCCCAGCAGTGACTCCTAAAGCAGTGACTCCTAAAGAAAGCCCTAAAGAGTCCCCTAAAGAGAGCCCTAAAATAACCCCCATTGAGAGCCCAGTCTCAACCCCTAAAGAGTCGCCAAAAGAATCGCCTAAAGAATCTCCAAAAGTCATTGCTAAAGAGCCCCCTCAAGTTGCATCTAAAGAAGTTCCTAAGGTGGCAGCAAAAGAGGTTACCAATGAAACTTCAAAACCACCCTCTAAAGAGGTCCCAAAAGAGATGCCGAAAGTGGCACCTAAGGAGACTGCTATAGTAGCACCCAAGGAAGTTTCAAAGGTTCCACCTAAAGAAGCCCAGAAGACACCCCCAAAAGAGAGTCCTGTGGCAGCACAAAAAGAGCCCCCCAAAGTTACTCCTACAGAACCTCCTAAAGTAGCACCCAAAGTAACCCCTAAGGATGTCCCTAAGGAAACCCCCAAAACAGTTCCCAAGGAGAAGTTTCCAGAACTGGATGTTAATCATAGCTTTCACCAAACCCAAAATAAGTCCTCAAGTATGTATCGCAGTCAGAGTGAGATTCGAACAGAGAAAGTTGAAGAGGTTCCCAAATCTTGGAGCAGTAGGCTTAGCATAGATCTCAGTGAAAAGTCCTTTGGTTTCGGCTTTGGCTCAACACTTCAGAGAGCTAAGTCAGCTCTTGAAGTTGTTTGGAAGTCTGGCGCTCAGGGACCCCCTGCTCCTCCTGAAGAGCCCACCAACACTTCTTCCTCATTCATGGGACGTTTCCGCACAATGTCAACCTCTGCTGCAACTACCCCTTGCACTGGAGTGGACACAGATGGCCCCACAGAGCCTGTAATCTGCAAGGCAAAGGAAGAGAAAACAGCTGCACAGACTGAAACTGGGGAACAACCAGAAGATAGTGAAACCCACTATGTTGAGGTGATGGAGCAGGTACTAGCTAACCTGGAGAGCCGTACCAATGCCAGTGAGACTGAAGAAACAGAGGAGACAGAGGATACGGAGGAGACCGAAGGGCCTGCACAGGAGTGTGAGACTTCTCAGGACTATGATGTTTCTGATGAAATCGAGGCCTCTCAAGACAATGATGCCTCTCAGGATTTTGAAGCCCCACAAGATTTTGAAGCTAATGAGGACTATGAAGCACCTAAAGAAGCGCGTGTTCTGGAGTATGACTGCAGTTTGGATGAACAATTTGATGAAGAATACAGTGAGGATTATGAAACACAACTTACTGAAGACACCGCTGAATATGATGCCATGGTGGAGTATGTGGATGTAGAGGAACCAGATGAGACTGAGGACAACGATGCAACTGAGGAGATGGATGGGGCTGATGAGGAGCTAGAGGAGGTTGCAGAGATAGTAGAAGAGGCTGCTGAGGTTTTGGAGAAACAGGAACAACAGCAAGAAGACGAAAACAAAAATGTTGCGGAGGAGAAGCCGCCAGAGGCCCCACCCCGGAAACGTGTCAGACCCACATTCAAGGAGGCAGCACTAAGGGCCTACAGGAAACAGATGGCGGAACTGGAACAACAGATCCTGGCTGGGGGTATGACTCCTCTTTCCTTTTTTTCTTGTTACAGTGATATGATTTTGAATTTTTTTTGTAAAGGTTACACAGGCAATATGCAGCAGGGAATAACTTTGTCACATGTATAAATGTAGAAATAGAAGATAATGTCAGAGTAGGTAACTGTTATATAATATAAGTAAGGGCTTAACCTTCTTGACCCCCAGTATAATTCTAGGATGCTGCTGCAGTTTGCTAAGTGAAAAAGAGCATTTATCTATGCAAACCATCTAACAGCTATGAGGATGATTGTGACAACAAGTTTCTATCATTTAAAAACAAAAAACTTCTTCTTTGATTTGTCAGGAAATGTGTGTCAGGTTAAGCTTTGAGGACCAAGACAGAGTCAGAGTTTTAAAAAATACCCAAAGTATTTATTTGCCATTTTATAGACCCAATATAAAGATTAATCATTTTATCCAAACTTTTAACATTTCAATTTTCAAATATGGAACAGCTCCAGCTCCTTTTTTTCACTACTTTCGAAGAGCAACTATGTGTATGATCATTGTTAGATTTGGCTTCCTGCAGCAAAGAAATTGTCAGATCACATGACACTTAATACTGACAGCTAAAAAAATTCATATGCAAGAAACATTTTACATAGCTTTTAAAAACTCAGTGACTATTTTAAAACAAATACTGACCTGTTATGCGGGGAATAGACCCCTGAATTTGACTTGCTAAACACTACAGCTATCCGTATTTGGCAC